AGCTGAGGCCAAACTGTGAATGAAAGCAGGCTGTTGGTCCTGGGGCAAGTTGGCAAGAGGCATGGGCCTTGCTGAAGCCAGATGCAGCTTGTTTGAAAAAATTTAGGAAAATCTGAAGCATGGGCTAAGACAAAATATTCATATAGAAAAAACACTGCAAATAGCTTGGGTGGGCCTGAAAGCTGGGTGGGGTAGGGTCTCAGGGAATCACTAGAGTGGGACAAAGAGTGTGAACCAGGTTGATGGAGTCTCAGATATAAAAGCCTCCTGTTGGCCCTGTGGATGGAGAGCTCAGAAAAAAAAACCAATGGCTTCTGCCAGCACTTCTGTCTAGGAGAAACCTGCCTCCCAGCTCTCACCCTGATGCTAAAAAATTTAGTTCCTCCCCATGTGTTTATGATGCCTTTCAATCTGCTGCCCATGCACTGAAGCTCAGGGGGAGTGAGTCTGAGTAAGTCTGTGTGTGGACGCTTTAAGAGGAACTGCCTGGGATTCCAAGAGTTTCTGTCTTCCACAACCTCAATCCCTGCTAGTTTTTTACAGCCAGAAGTTTTTGATACTTACTTTCTGGTTCTGAAACACTGGGCAGGAGGGTCTGGTGTTATCTAGGACCTCTTGCTCTGAAGATATCCCTCCTGATTTTATTTTTTTTAAATAAAAGTTTTTATCTGCCACATGTGGGAATAGGGCCAGCCAGTTCCATGTTTCTGCCTCTCCTACCAGACTCAGTGTGGTTTCTTCTTTAATTCTACAGTTGCAGAACTCTCATTCAGGCCAATTTGTGATGGTTCTGAACAATGTTGTTCTATAGTTTAGTTGTAATTTTGAGGTGGTTGTGCTAGGAGGTGAGCCATGTTTACCTATGCCACCATCTTGACTAGAAGCCTCCAGAGGGCTTTTTGAAATAAATTGATAAATGCTTCTAAATTTAGCATCCTAAATGCAAAGAACCTAAAATAGCAACAAAAAAAAAAAAAAAAGTAAAAAAGAATAAGTTTAGACAACTTAACCTAATTTCAAGAACTAACATAAAGCTTCAATAATCAAGGCAGTGAGGTATTGGCATTAGTATAGACAAAGAGATTAATGAACACAAAGGAAACCACATATGAATTATCAATTGATTCTTTGATAGAGTTGCTCAAAGTTAACTCAAATTAATTAGTGAAAGGATAGTCTTTTCACTCATGAAACAACTGGATAACTTTTATGGAATGAAATTAACCTCTACATACTTTCAAACAAACACAGGTCAATGGATCACAGACTTCAAAGTGAAGCTTAAACTATTAGCTTTGAAAAGAAAACACAAATGACTATTTTTGTAATTTTGAAATTGGCAAACATTTCTTAAGAGAGGACAAAAAAAATTACTGACCTAAAAAGAAAAATGATAGATTAGATGTCAACACTTCAGTTTATTAAAATTCGACATTTAGAAAATGCATAGAAAATCTTCTGCCTGGGAGAACAAATAACACATTTCACTTTTACATAATCGTATAGGAAGTACAGTGAAAATAATGTTTCATTTATACTTTAACATGTAAAATACTTGAATTGCAAGCATAAATTTCTAAAGATGAAAAAAAGGAAAAACTGGAAAGTTACACTTTAAACTTTTTTTTTAATATTTTATTTATTTATTTTTCGAGAGGGGGAAGGGAAGGAGAGAGAGTGGGAGAGAAACATCAATGTATGGTTGCCTCTCATGCATCCCCTGCTGGGAACTGGCCTGCAACCCAGGCATGTGCCCTGACTGGGAATCGAACCTCGATACTCTGGTTCGCAGGCCCGCGCTCAATCCACTGAGCTATGCCAGCCAGGGCTTTACACTTTAAACTTGATTATATAGACCATAATAAAGATGACAATACTTCATAATTTAGTAAAGGTATTTTAACATAAGACTAAGTAATTTTTCTCAGGATTATTAAAATGACATTTAAAAAGGAGATTTTGAAGTCAAAAAACATGGCTTTGTTTTCAGTTTATTGACTTTTTTTTTTTTACTTTTCCAAAATTACATTTTAGTTTCGGTATTTTCTATTGAGTTCAGGTGTAATCATTAGATAACCATGTAACTTACAAAATGTTCCGTTTTTTCAGTACATTCTATGCGTTGGTCCATACAAAAACACTAGTGTCCAACAAATCTCTACAACTGACCTGGAGTCCTACCTCTTTGCAGTCTGGTAGTGTCTTTGACTCTTATTACAGAGTGCTTCAAAAAATGACACGCGGACAAAACCAAGGGGGCGGGTGGAAGCAAGGGAGGGAATTGGGTTTGGCTGGGGTTGGGGGAAGTGGTAAAGGGAAAATGCAAACAACTGTAATCAAACAGCAATGAAATAATTTAAATTAAAAAAAAGTCACAGTCCTCTCTTCAGATTTCACTACAGAGAGTCTTTACTGGTCTCACAGGTCATCCTGAGGAATACTAAGGAGACAATTAAGGTACAAATGATAATTTTCTAGTAGGGCTACTGTAGGAGGCAAATGCTTGGTGATCATAGTTGAAACCATTCACATAGGCCAAAACCATTTGGTCTAGTTGAGCTGGATATGACCAAAAGACTGTTGTTGTTGTTGTCTGTTTGCTTTATTAATTGTTTTTTCACCAGTAAAGATGTCTGTCCCTCAGCAGGAACCCTAGCACTCCCCAGAGCTATATGGGTACATTTTAGCAGCAATTAATACTGAAGGTTCACTCGGTTTTTCTGTTGCTAATTTCAAACAATTTATTATCAAATTATTCAATGGACAAAGAACAAAATGGCATTTAATGGCCTCTGAAGAATAACTGCCTAAATTAATACGTATGCATTAGTCTTGTAGAATATGGCTGACAAACCTTCAAATTTGGGGGGCACGTCTTTTATAGTGGTGGTTTCTGTTGCTTTTCATTTTGATTAGCTCTTCTAATCATTAAGAAATGCAATAGCAACCTGGTGATTTCTGGGTTAGCTGGTTTTGCACTAGCTTTTGTTGCACTAGCTGTTGTTGCGTTGACATGCAAAGATGCAACAGCTAGTTTTGCACTAGCTGTTGTTGTGGGCCTGTGCCTGCTCCTGTCTTCTTCACCCACAATACCAGGTAGAGGCCAATTGGAATTACTGGGTGAAGCACTACAGCAGAAGGAGTTTCTGTATACACTCACATAATTATGCCAGTTTCTATAGAGTAGAAACCAGCATATATTTTTGCCTTCCTAAAACATGGAATAAAGATGAAAAGACAGGAGTTGCTTATAGAGAAAGTAGGAAGCAGGGGAAAATGAGTATTTAGAATTTAAGTCTGTAAGATCTTAAAGGATATGGAACATGTGTGGAGCACAGGAGGCTTTATAATGATAAAGATGAAAAGATTATTACATAAAATAAGATGATTAGTTATAATATTAGATAATAGATGTGGGTAGGAAAGGCAAAAAACCCAGAATATTAAAAGAAAACAAAAAGATGAGATGTTCCTCTCAGCAAACTACTGAAAAGAATTAGCTACGGGATTAGAGGAAAAAATAGTTACATTATGTGTTGTTAAATTTTTTTTTAGCAATTATCTTACCCTCCAAGAAAACAAGCCACTGAATTGCTTGCATTTTATTGTCCTTGACTCTTTTTTTAATCTGTATCATGCTGTTCTTTAATATTACATCTTTTGGTGTAATCTTTGCTATCCAGTTCGCCTTTCCTAAGAACCTTACAAAAAAATGTCAACTATTATAAAATTATAGCTTAAATAAATTCTTCACACTGTCAAATAAATATACACATATAAAAACAATAATTACTTACAAATCATAATAAAAAATGTAACATCACAATAGAAAAATGAAAAATCCCCAGATATAAATATCAAAAATTGGGAGGATTTACATAAGGAAAAGTCTGACAAAAGGTAATTAAGGACATAAAATAAGAATTAAATAAATTGAGAGATATGGTATGTATTTGGATACGCTGATTCAAGAGATTGCTTTTCAGCTAAAATTAATACTCTACCTAATTAAAATAAAAATCTCACTGAGATTCATCTCAAATAATTTTGAAATAAGCATTGCCAGAAGAATACTTTAAAGAATAAGGAGGGGAAACGGGATTTTTAATAGATATTTAAATATATCTCACAAAGTTAAAATACTGTAGTACTTTTGTAAGTAGATCCTTCAATGGAATGGAACAGAAAACCCCAAAACAGGAAAAAATACGGTGAATTTAATGCAAAATAAAATTGTATTTTAAACTAGATGAGAAAATTTGTTTTGCCACATGTGAATAGCTATTTTTAAAAAAATAAAACAACCACACCATCCACAAAAAAAAAGTTCTTAAATGTTACACCATGCTTCAAAATAAATCTTACATTAATTAAAGATTCAATTGGGGCAAATAAAAGTAAAGAAAACGTAAATGTAAGGCTGGACCGGGGAGGAGAATTAAAATGCATGCGGAAATGTGCTTTCATTTCATCTGGAGAAGGTGATTTGTTTCTTATAAATTTGCACTTGCATACACATATTGAGATAACCTCTGAAACCATGAAAAAAACATCTTCCCGTTGTTGCATCTGCCAAATTCCTTGGAGATTGGCTGGGACCCATAGGGATGTGGAAGAGAAATAAAGTAAGGAACACGAAGACAGATTTTTTTAGAGGAGCTTTCTGGGCTGCAGACCTTCAGCACCCTAAAGTTCCACACCCTTCTAGCTCCAGACATAAGCAAAGACAGCTTTCCCACTGGGGCGATTACAACTTCCGAAGACTTATCCAAACACTTCCGACTCCCAGTAACATATGAATGGAACCCACAGTACCCACAAGGAACCGCACAGATTTTAGAACGTCCAGACTTTACACATGCGCTCTAGGTATCTTTGGCCGCAGGGGTTTTGTGCGCATGCTCAAAGACTCTAGCTCTGAGGGGCGCACGCGCAGTTGACTTCGTCGGCGGTTTGGGGCGGGGCGGGGCAGGGCGGGGCGAGGGGGGTGGGTAGTTGCTTGGTTACAGTAATTCCGGGCTGCAGGATTCTAAACCTTGGTACTGCTTGGCTGGCATGGTGGAGCAAGCGGCCGTTGACTTATCAGAAGCGATAATGGGCTCAGGAGGCGGTGAAAAGCTGAGGGGCAGGTGAGGCTTCTCTGAAGCCCTTAGGCGATCTGAGATGAAGAAGATTTTTGGCTTCGGGAGTAGGAAGGGCGTGTCGCCCTTGGGCTTCTCTAGGAGTCCGGGGAGCAACAGCATGGGGGATTGGCGTAAGAGTAGTAGTAATCGAGTCATCTCTCCGCACGAGTACCACATCCAAGACAAAGATTTGGGGAAGATCCACAAAGCTGCCACGGTGGGCAACGTAGCAAAAGTGAAGCAGATTCTATTGCTCCGGATAAATGGCGTGAATGACACAGACAAGATGAACAGGTAATAGGGACTGCGAGGCCTGCGGCCAGGGCCGGGAGTCAACTGGGAGGAAGTGTGGTGAACCTGGGAGAAGCGCTCACTTGCCCGGACTCAGCCAGGTGGAGCTCAACCCTCCTGTCACTGAGGGCCGCTGGGCTGTGGGGTCCAGCGCTCAGGACACCTTTATGAGAAGCAAAATCAAAAACTTAAAAGGACAGCTAGATCAGGAGTGGAAACATAGAAATGAAGATCTCAAGGAGGGTTAGCAACAGGGGAGTGGGAGGAGGAGAAGGGGGGAGAAGGTACAGAAAATAAGTAGCATAGACAGTAGATAGAAAATAGATGGGGGGGGCAAGAATAGCATGGGAAATATAGAATCTAAAGGACTTGAGACACATGGTCATAAACTAAAGGGGGGTAATGGTGGGGATGGGGGGTAGGGTGGAGGGGAATGAAGGGGGGAATAGAACAACTGTAACAGCATAATCAATAAAAAAATTAAAAAAAAACAACTTAAAGACCAACTCATAATTCCTCTTAAAAGAACACCTTAAGTATATACAGCGTTCTATATTTGATGTTCACATTTTTATACAGTAATAGTGCTGTATATTATGGAAAATTGCCTAATAGATATAATTTCCATAGTAGATAACTTCTGGGCTAAAAATTCTCAGATAAAATCAATATCCACTTTATATCAGTGTACACCGATGTATATATGTCCTTCATTGAGGGACCACAGAAGGGAATTTTAAAGTTGGAAGATGGCTTGTGGTCTTAAATAGGGACAATCGTTTTCTCAAAATGTGTCCTTTTCTTATAATGGTCAGTTTTAAATAAAGTAAATAAAAATATGGTTTAAACATTTTTGTGTACACATGCTGTCTGTCTTTGGTTGTGATGAAATTAAGAAAATTATTAAGATGTAAAGATGTAAAAATTATTAAGATGTAAAGAAAATTATTAAGATGTAAAGATTTCATTAAGACTTCTTTAAGATGATTTGCCCTTCTACATATCAACACGTGCTATTAATTTCCACAAATTATTTTCATACTAATAGCTGAAAAGAAAGAAAGAATTGGAACAGAATAGAAATGTCCAAATAGATGTAAGACTTTAGGACATGGTACTGGTGACATTTTACATTCTTAGAAAAAGACAAATTATTCATAAATGGAGAAATAACTGTTAAGTATTGGAGAAAACTAGCTAGATGTTAATCTCACAAAAAATAAGTTCTAGATGGAATGTAGATTAAAAATTTCAAATTAAAAAATGCAAAAATTATTAGAAACACAAATGCCTATATATATATATATATATATATATATATATATAGGCATTTGTGCCTATATATATAAAAATATATATATTTTGACAAAGACGTCAAAAGTAAGATTTTTGGAGATTGGTTGAGCAATATAAAAAATTAAAACTCTGTCTTTCAGAAATCAATATTAACAAAATAAAGGAAAATACTTGCAAAATATTTACAACATATGCATATCAGAGAAAAATATATCTTTGTTTTACATGGAAGACTTTGAAATCAACAAGAAAAAGAGCTCTAATTTGAAATTAGATAAAATACTTTCAGCATATCTACAAGTGACCAATGGACATAGGAAAAAATATTTAGTGTTACTGGTAAGAAGAGGAATTTACATTAAAAGAGTAGTGAAATGCCATTTTCCATCCACAGTTGGCGAAGGTGACCATCAATGGTCCTTACACTGCTGCTTAAAGTTTAAGTTGCATTTGTGTTTTCAAATAGGCAATTTGTTTATAAGGACCACCTTTAAATATATATTATTTTTTACCCATTAATTCTACTTACACTAAAATATCTTTAAGAAATTAACTAGATAAATTACATACAATTTGTTTTTTTCAGCACTGCTTGAAATAACTCATATAAATGGATTTTGTTAAAATATTGCAGTGCATTGATAGAATGGAATAATATGCCACCATTGAAGGTGGTATAGGTAATAGAAGTACATTGACATGCAAAGATGCACTTTGGCAGATCAGAAAGGGAGACAAAAATCAGTTTGATTATACAAACACACAGACTATGCTCTTATGTGAACAGAAATTATGTGCAAAATACAAAATTTCTAAGCATTTGTATTATAAGTGAAAATTTCTCTTTTTAAAAAATCTGATTTCTACAATGAACATGTACAGACATTCTAGTAAAATTTATTAGGAATGAAATAATCTCGGGGAAGAGCAGGAATATGAATCTTGCACAGGTAAAAATAATTTCTTACTTGCTGTGGTTTTTAGTGTTTTTGAGGATTGGTATGTTTTAACAATTTTTAGCATCTTCCCAAGTAAAGGGAATCTTTATCTGTCCCTGTAGAATGTATGTATATGTTTAATGGTATGCGTATTGTTTTTATTTAGTGTAACTTTATTATGTGTAGTATGTAAATGATTATAGATTAATCATTCTAGTTGTATTCTTATAAAAATAAAAAATCAGAAATAGCAAATCTAAGTGATTATTAATACTGCAGAGGTTTTGCTTTACTTTATAAAAGTTTTCTTTAAAAATTTTGAACTCTCAACTATATTTCCCCATTCTTTTAATTTATTTATTCATGAAATATAACCTTGATACCTATGTAGCAGATATATTCTACTCAGGACCCTTTCAGTCTATCCTCAGGCCCTTTTCATCGTAAAAACTTCATGTAACTCCATATTAGCAAAATGAGAAATTATAAATTGAAGTATTAGGACTACAGTTGAAGCTTTTTCTCCATACTTTCAAACAAAAGTATTTCTGAAGGTAGGAAATTGTAAAAGATAACCTTTAATTCCCCTATTAAAATGGATAACTGTTAAATACTAATGATGATGACTGGGAATATCTAATTTCCATGCAATCTGTATTGAGTAAAATGTGCCATCCTATTCACTTGAATTCTGAGTTTCCTCTGGCTTAAAGTTTCTTGAAAATCAAAGTAAAAGTTACTTTAAAAAAAATTATTTTCTTGTTTTGTCTTTTTCTCGTGCTTTTACGAACTAAAAGTGATTTACATGCCAACCATCTGACTAGAACTGCAAAAGATCTGTTGTACTTAACATTGTTTCACTTAAAGTAAGGCACTGTGGATGGTATGATGCCTAGTATTTTATGTACCAATAGGATTTTAAAATGCTGCCATTATCATTGTAAGACATCCTGATTTATAAATTGTATTTATAAAATTTTTTAAAAATTATTTATAAAATATGAGAAAATAAGCATCTTAGAGTCATTGAAATGCAGTGTACCTTTTAATTCTCAAAACGTACTTGCAAAGGAGGTATAATGTTATCATATTACTTAGTTGAATGTCTTTGTAAAGTTGTAGTAATAGTAATAGTAGTAGTAATAGTAATAATATAATCTAACAATTATTGAGAGTTCTTTGGTTCTAGGTACTGCATAGTGAACACTGCATAACTTCTCATTTTAGCGAACAATGGTGTTCTCTGAGATGACTATTTTTATCCCCATTTTGTTGATAAGGAAATTGAGGCATGGAGAGGTTAAGCGATAGCTAAGGCATGGCAGACTTAAAATAAGAACAGACCAAAGTTGAACTCAGTCCCAGGCAATGCTCCCTCTATTCAGATAGACTGCTCCTTTGTTAATGTGGTAAGTAACAAGATTTAATAAATATTGTACTGTCTCCAGAAGAGAACTATTTGTTTTGAGGACATAGGGATAACTTTTAATATTTACGATTACATGAATAATTGTATGTTTTGAGATAATGCACTTTAGGTTCCTAGAAATTTCTCTCACTTTCACAGGACTGCCCTACATTTGGCCTGTGCCAATGGCCACGCTGGAGTGGTCACTCTCCTAGTTGACAGAAAATGCCTGTTGAACCTCGGTGACAGTGAAAACAGGACAGCTCTGATTAAGGTATGTAGTAGCCAACTATGTCAGCATGAGAGGATTTGATTTCTTTACTAGATAAAAATTAACTTATCTTATTTAACTATAAGTTTTTGGTGAAACTTGTGGAATGTTTACTTTGAATTCTCAGAATTTATAGTCTCTTTCTTGGCATAATACTGACAGGCTGTACAATGCCAGCAAGAGGAATGTGCAACAATTCTGCTAGACCATGGTGCCGACCCCAATATAATGGACATCGATGGCAACACTGCTCTCCACCATGCTGTCCTCGGTCAAAATACAGCTATAGTAGCAAAGCTGCTTGCACACAAGGCAAATGTTGAAGCAAGAAACAAGGTATAGATCAACCAACTTTATTTACAAAGTATTTGAAATACATGTTTTTATTTTAGCCATAAGCATTTTCTTTCTCATTTTATATATATATATATATATATATATATACACACACACACACACACACACACACACACACACACACACACACTGAATACAATATAGCAGGCCCTGTTACTATGGAAACAACTCCAAAGCCAGGTCAGGCAGGGCTGGAGAAATGCAGTGTCCACAGAAAGGGCAAAGCTCTGTCTCCAGCTACCCTTCACCCCAGAAGGAAAAGCTTCCTGTTGGTGCCTGGGAGTGGGTGATAGGCTCAGAGCCCACAGAGGACTGAATGCCTGTGGGGAGTGAAGTGAGGGTGGGGGCTGACTACTGTGCAGGCAGGGGCTTAGGAAACTGATGGTGGTGGGGATGGGTGGGAGGAGGAGGCCCAGTACCCAGCAGGGGGAGCTGGGTGAGTGCCAGGGGGAAGGGGGAGTAGAAGTGCACAGGCTCTGAACACTTCGGGACCCCACAGTTCTGAGTTATGGCAAAAGAGTCAGGTCATATCTTAACTTTAGCAAAGTCATCTGCTTGTGCTCATAGCCACTCTGCCAGCCATGGACCTCCTTGGGGTTTTCCATGTCAGAGTGTAGCTTCTGCTCAGCCTCGCGTAGCTCCTCAGAAGGGTTGTCATTGTACACGGGGCACAGGTGATGGCAAAGCGGTTCACTTGCTTTTTCTCCTGGGTGTATATCGCCTCTTGCCACTGTAACCCTGACAGGAACAGCCTCAGTTGACACAGGTAGGGTCAGTTTTACATATTTGGAAGCTCAAGCATTCTCTGAATGAAAATATTTTGAAGTCACTTAATTGTCTAAGAACTCATTTTACATAATGATACTTCTAAAGAATCAGTAGAGGATATAGCTCTCTTTGATGCCCTTATGACATATATTTGTGAAAACACAATTTATGAGAGGCATAACTTTTAAAAATATTTTTTCACCTGAGTTTTTTTTTCTAAATAATGTAAAACAACCTAGGAAAGCAAAATATGCCATAGAAATAGGCTTTATCTTAAAACTCAAAACAAAGCATTTTAGAATATAATATAAATCTTGCTGCTATTGACAAGTTTCTATATTATAAAAAAGTGACTTATATAAAAAGTGATTTAGCCTGGCTGGTGTAGCTCAATGGATTGAGCACAGGCCTGCGAACCAGAGTATCACGGTTCAATTCCCAGTCAGGGCACATGCCTGGGTTGCAGGCCAGTTCCCAGTGGGGGACCCATGAGAGGCAACCACACATTGATATTTCTCTCCCTCTCTCCTTCCCTTCCCCTCTAAAAATAAATGAACAAAATCTTTTTTAAAAAGTGATTTATATAAAAAGTGATTTATTTCTCATTGACCAAAGCCTATAAGGGGAAAAGGAAAGGAACAGAGCAATTAGAAATATGCAGGCCAATTTGGAAACGTGGCAATTGAGGGGAAATAGTCAGAAGAGTGGTTTGGGGTTTTTTGTTAGTTTGGTTGTGGTTTTTCCTTTCCTTTCAGTTTGTAGTTTAGGTAAGATGCTCTTCAGGTTTCAGGGACAAGAATTGTTAGCTTTAGGAGAAAGCATCCGTGAGTTGTAAACTTACCTGGAGATCAACCTGAGGAGGCTCTGAGGTGGCCAGATTGACAGTGAACAGTGGTCATTAAGTGGGAAACAAGAGGAAAGGACAGGTAATTAACTGAGATATTATCCTGTTCTGGCGGCAACAGCCACTTAGATAAGAGTCTGAACTCTGCTTTTAAATCTAGAAGGTCTGGATGGGACGTAAGGAGTTTATAAGTAATGAAATCAAGTTGCATGTTGAGTGTATTCATCCCTTTTTGACCCCTACCCATGAAATTAAATACAGTTTTGGTAAGTTACTCACGTTTCTTACACTTTTATTTAGCCTTGTCTTCAAATGACAGAGTTATGGCTACACAGGTGAGAGACAAGACTAAATAAAGTAACTGCACTAGTTCTCAACTTGAAGTGTGCTGGTGAATCAGTCACCTGAGGAACTTCAAAAAGTTCATAAGCCTAGGCTCTTCCCTAAAGATTTCGATTGAGTAAATCTAATGCCTGGATGTGTGTATTTAATTTCCTTAAGATTCTGATACAACACTTGGTAAAGAACCACTGAATGGATAAGTATAATGTATAATCTCACAGATCCCACAAACTTAAGAAATCTCTAGAAGAGCTGGAATTTGATTGGTGATACTTCCTTTAACTCTTTCCAGTCCAGCATTATTGGCCTGGCTTTCAACTGTTTCTACCTCTTCACTTGAGAAGTTACACGGAACATTACTGGCAATTTCTCCTGGCTTAAAGAACACCTTTTTTCTTTCAACCATCAGTCAGTCCATTCACTGACACTCGGAGTCTTTAGAAACTTGCTTACAGGTCATCTGTTATTTAGTAGAATCTGACCCTTTAGAAATTTTGCATCCTTTGTTCGCCTTTAGGTCCTTAGATCAGCAAATGTTTGCTACAAGCAGGATTTTCCTGCAATAATATTGTCTTGAGCCATCTTTTTAGTTGAACCTGTGTGGCAGACTTTGTCGGTGCATCTGTTAAGTTCATAGAGCCCTGGCCTAATCAGGATGGCAGTTTTAAACATCTAAACCATGAATTTAGCAACAGTAAAGGCGAGAATTGTTTTAATAATTTAGTTTCAGCAGTCCTGTGAAATAATTATCTATTTGATTAACAATCTGGGAGAAATAAATACAAATCAATTGTAGTATTAATAAGTATTAGCAAAATTTTTGTCATGGATATTATTAGTCTAAATAATGATTTTTTATCACATATGGGGCCCACAATATTGATAAAACATATGATACTAATGAAAGGAATGGTTTTAAACAGAAAAATTTGCTTTATACACAACCATTTAAAAACACAGCAAATATAAAACCATAAGTGGGCTCTAGACTGAATGCGGGCCCTGGATATATTTAGTTTGCACCCATCAATTGACTCAACCTTTAAAATTTAGGAGGCTCGTGTGGAAGTCTGGATTGCAAGCTTTCTCTTCAAGAAGCAAATCTGGCATCCCATTGGCACCCCATAAGCCCCTCCTGCTGTTTGCTCTGCTGTGCCCAGGCTGCCCCTCATGGGAGACGTGGGTTCTCCAGTTTGCTGCCATCCCCACCTAGATTCTGCACTTACTTGGGTCACCTGCTTTGCCTCTGTAAGCACTTGATTCACAATTTCTGTTTTATAATATATTTTATTAAAGACTTCATGATCTTAAAGACCACCTATACTCATTTATAACTATTTTACGTTAATCTTCTAAGAATGGGACTGAATTTTTCAAGTTAAGAGTGTATGTTGTTGTTTTTTAAAAAACCTTTTTCTTTATACATCCTCTAAAAAATCCTATTCTTGTTACCAGAGCAGGTGTGCCTCAGGCTGGCCTGTTCTGTGTAGTTCTTGACTTCATCTAGGAAAGATTTTACAACATGAGTCCAAGTGACTTTGAGAGTATGTTTATTAAAGCTGGGGACAGTGAAACAAAGGAAGTACTTAGAGGAGAAGAAGCAGCAGGAGAGAGCCCAGGTGGTGCTCTGCCTGCTTTAGCTCCCCAGAGCCAAAGCAGTCAGAGAAAAAAAGGGACTTGGAGACTGGCCCAGGGGACAAGCCTGGGGCAAAGTGCCCCTGCCCACTGCTCCCCTGGCTGCAAGTCCTGTTCAAACCTTTAGAGTTTAGGAAGAAGTAGAACGTTCATGCCCGAAAAGGGGCATGGGCGTGCTCTCCAGTGAGCCCCCACTGAGTCTGTCCTGAGGGCTTTTCATCTTTCTTTTTATGCTGGCAAGAGTCTTAGGGGAGGGTTTCAGAAGGCTATTCATTAACTCTCCAGATGCATTTTTAATATGCTGATGACATCAAAATGAATTTATAGAGGGGTTTGGGATTATTCTTTGGTCTACTATACTGTTTTACTTTTATTTTGGGTCTGTCTGGCTTTTAGTGGGGATTTTGTTAACTGTTCCCCTGACTTCACCTGTCCTTGGGTTTAGCTGGCACAAATGGCATTAACTGGTCCTCTGTTCTCTATTTCCCAGGCCAGGGTGGTTTCAGCCATGTATTCTCTGGTTAGGGAAGAGGAGTATAAACCATTTACTCTCAAGTGTCCTTGGTTAGGGGAAATAAGGTCTTTCGATTCACCAGCTTGTTGTAAATTGTTGAGATTATTTGGCCTTGTTTAATTCTCTTGTCTCAGTTTCTCCATTCCACTTGCCCTGGAATTTTCCCTTAGTGTCTTACTCTCCTAGTAAGACTCTCCCAGTGTCACATCCTCATTGGAATGTCTGTGAATTTTAGGAGGAAGTTAATCATGGTTAGAGTCGAATAGGGTGTGCCTATTCCAGATAACATTATATCTTTCTCCTCAGCATTGTTACTCAGAAATGCAAGTGATTTAGTGGCTTTCATTGCACTGAAAATAATTTGTATAGATCAGTGTTAAAGTTATTAAGTAATTATTTTTTTTATTTTTGACTTTTGCCACAAGTACAAAATAATTTTAAGGGCAATTGAAATGAAATCAGAATAAAAATAATATTTTAAAAGTACATATTCATTAGGGTCCCAGGATTTTTAACATAATTGAGAATGTATCATTTCATATTGAGCTTTCTAACAGCTGGATGAAAGTTATAACCTCACACTGTAAGAAAACCCACACACCATTTAGTAGTAAGCAATCAGAGTTTGTCTGAAGCCTAGCTCTTCTGATTTAGAGTCCATTGTTTTTGAAACCCTTGTGGAGCAGGGGTGACTGATGTTGACATTTGGGGTCCTCAGCTTTGGTAAGAGAGAGTCAAGCAAGTGTGTATAACCTGCAGAAACCCTTCACCTTTGTTGAAAAGCTCTCACAACTGTATCTTTGAAACTCTGTAAATTACAAATGTTAATATTTGCCGCAGGAAACTTGACAAATCAAGATTAAGCAAAATTAAACATTTCTTTAGTACTGGGCATACAATGCCCAGACTTGTAATATTTCTTAAACACAAGTCATCTTCCTGGATTATTTTTCTTTTGGGGCATGTACTTTGAGTAAAGTATGTATTCTTAAAAATATAATTTAAGAAACTCTAATCATTTTGTTTATTTCAATAAGAATACTAAAAGCATTTAGTACTAGGTTTTATAGTTTGGAGATACAGAGATCATAAAACATCTTCAGCCCTTAAGAAGCACTTGGGGAGTAATAAACTAATGACAGTACACCACAACGGATACTGTGAGAGGAACAAAGATTCTTGGAACCAGTACCGTAAATGTTTGAAGTGAGTCCTGGAGAATGGTTTTGCAATTAATCTACTGGAGAGGGAGTGGAGGGCATTTTAAAGACAAGGAGCAGCTGGTGACAGCACAGGGTGTGAAAAGTAAAGGGCTGCTTTTTTTCTATTTAAAATGTTTTATTTATTTGCTTTTAGAGAGAGGGGAAGAGAGGGCGGGAAACATTGACAAGAGAAACATCAATCTGTTGCCTCTCATATGTGCCCTGACTGGGGACCATACCCACAACCCAGGCATGTGCTCTGATCAGGAATTTAACCAGCGACCTTTCTCTTTGTGGGACGATACCCAATCAACTGAGTCACACTGGTCAGGGTGGAAGAGGCTACTTCTATTTACTTCCTATGTTATATGTTTAAGTTCAGAGGATCTTTTATACAGTTTAAAATTTAGTTTGGGTATATTGGTATATTGTTTTATAAATGATAAATTATTCTTGCTGCTTTACAGGATGACCTCACACCACTGTCACTTGCTATTAGTGAAACCAAAGAAAAAATGGTGGAATTTTTAGTAAACAGAGGTGCAAAAGTCGATCAGTTGGAAAGGTACAGTTGTTTGTTTTTTAAAAATTTTAGTATTGTTTTTGAGTGGAACAATCACTCAAGTCAGAAAGATTACATTAGTAAGATGATTAACTTATATAGAAAAAATAGCAAAGCATAATCAATTAGCTAGAAAAGCAATTATTCTGACTGGGCAACTGGAAGAAGAGTATACCACAGGTTTCATACTCATTTATAATATTGACTCATTTGCAATCTGATTACTTTGGTCATATGATCTTATATTAGCTAGAGAGGTTTCATATTTTATGTTGTATGGACTTTGTTAGTTTAATTTTATGGTATGATATTGGACTTAATCTTCCTTATAGTTTTTTTAAAAAATGTATTCTATTGATGATGTTATTACAGTTGTGCCATTTTCCCCCTTCATTTCCCTCTGCCTTGTACCCCCATCCGACCATCATTCCCCCACCTTAGTGCATGTCCATGTGTCATACATATAAGTTCTTTGGCTTCTCCATTTCCCATACTATTCTTAACCTTCCCTTGTCTATCTTATACCTACCATTTATGCTACTTATTCCCTGTACCTTCTGCCCCATTCTCCCCCAATCCCCTCCCCACTGATAACCCTCTATGTGATCTCCATTTCCATGTATCTGTTCCTGTTCTAGTTGTTTGCTTAGTTTGTTTTTGTTTTTTTAGATTCGGTTGTTGATATTTGTGCGTTTATTGTCACTTTACTGTTCATAATTTTGATCATCTTCTTTTTCTTAGATAAGTCCCTTTAACATTTCATAAAATGAGAGTTTGGTGAAGATAAACTCCTTTAACTTGACCTTATCTGGGAAGCACTTTATCTGCCCCTCCATTCTAAATGATGGCTTTGCTGGATAGAGCAATCTTGGGTGTAGGTCCTTACCTTTCATGATTGAATACTTCCTTCCAGCCCCTTCTTGCCTGCAAAGTTTCCTTTGAGAAATCAACTGATAGTCTTATGGGAACTCCTTTGTAGGTAACTGTCTCCCATCTCTTGCTGCTTTTAAGATTCTCTCCTTATCTTTAACCTTGGGTAATTTAATTATGATGTGCCCTGGTGTGTGCTTCCTTGGGTCCAACTTCTTTGGGACTCTCTGAGCTTCTGGGACTTATTGGAAGTCTATTCCCTTTGCCAGATTAGGGAGGTTCTCCCTTATTATTTGTTCAAATAGGTTTTCAATTTCTTGCTCTCATTGTTCTCCTTCTGGCACCCCTATGATTCAGATGTTGGAATGTTTAAAGTTGTCCCTGGGGTTCCTAAGCCTCTCCTCACTTTTTCGAATTCTTGTTTCTTCATTCTGTTCCAGTCGAATGTTTATTTCTTCCTTCTTTTCCAAGTCGTTTATTTGAGTCCCGGGTTCCTTTCCATCAGTGTTGGTTTCCTGTGTATTTTCCTTTATTTCACTTTTCATAGCCTTCACTTTTTCTTCTATTTTGTGACCACACTCAGCCAATCCTATGAGCATCCTGATTACCAGTGTTTTGAACTGTGCATCTGATAAGTTGACTATCTCTTCATCACTTAGTTGTATTTTTTTTGGAGCTTTGATCAGTTCTTTTATTTGGGCCATATTTTTTTTGTCTTGGCATGCCTGTTATGTAGTAAGGGGCAGAGCCTTAGGTATTCGCCAGGGTAGAGCAACACACTTCACTGCATTGTGGTACTGTACATGGGGGAGGGGTCCAAGAGGGCACAGTGCCAGCTGCTCAGCTCTCCGCTGGTGTTCAGTCACTTCCGCCGCTGCATACAAGCAAAATTTGCCCTTTTGATGCTGGTTCCTGGGTGGGTGGGTTTGCTTATGTTCTAGGACTCTGTGGATATCTCCAGTGAACTCTCCTGTGAGGCTGGGAGTTTCTCCCACTGCCTCAACCCCCACAGGTTTTTTCAGTTGAAGGTTATGAGGCTTTATTTCCCCACGCTGGAACCCTGTATTGCATGGTCTGTGGTGCCCCCCATTTGTTCCTCCCAGTTTATAGCACGCAAACATGGGACTGTGCTCCTCCAGCCACTGCCTTGCCGCGAGTCTTTTCTGCCCAGCTGTCTGTCTGCACCCCTCCTGCCGGTCTGTATGAATGTGTCTTCTTTGACTCCTTGGTTGTTGGACTTCCATAAACTTCCAGATTTTTCTGGAAGTTCTGGTTATTTTTTGTTTTTAAATTTGTTGTTGTCCTTCTTTTGGTTGTGTGAAAATGCACAGTGTACCTACCTATGCCTCCATCTTCAAACCCCAAATGCCCCTTATAGTTTTTCTTAACCTTTACTTTGTATATAGCTTTTGTTAAGTTATATATTAAAAATAAGTTGGAGTTGATTTTGTCTTTAGGATGACTCTTTGCTTTGAATTTCTTTCTTTGATGAATACTGGTGCTGTTAGGTTATCCCTAAGTGACAATGAATTACTGCTACCAGATACTATGGATTCGTCAGGTTTTATCCTTATCTATTTCTAGTATATTTTGATGTTTTTATTTCTAATTGGTATGGGTAGAAGGAAGAATGATAACTTTAATTGAATAAACTTCTTTAATGAAGACTAGCATAGGTGGGTGATAAAGGAAAAAAAGATAAGCTTTCAGGGCACGTGAGACTGGGTTTATGCCTAGCTTTCCTACACGCCAGGTACGTGACCTTGGGAGCATTACTTGTCATCCCCAAGTATGCCCCTGATATGAAAAAAGATAATACTAATGTATCATTCAAGAGTAGTTCTGCGTAAGATTTTCTAGCATTTTACTTAGCCTAGCTCATGCTCATCGGCATCAATAACACTGTGACTATTATTATCATAATTATTATTGATATTATTGTTCTTAAGCCTGCCAAATAGCTTTTACTTACCTGACTTCTAGCTGACTTTAAAGTACAATATATCAGACTAGGGATGAAACAGGAAATTCTTGATTTAAATCTTCACCTACTTCAGATTAGTGACTTTGGCATAGTTTCTTATCTGTTTGAGGACTTTACATTAGCAAATTCTACTATGTAATACCCAAGGGGGACAACAGGCTTTCTTTTTGTCCCTGCATTTTAGCCTTGGAAGTAATTTACAAAGATGAACACTTCAGCATGTAAATGGTCAATTCTACACAGATAAAAACAGGGTATTTACTTGGTAACATATGTTAATTAGCTATTTAAATAACTTGATTGAAGTTCCTGAGGGTAAAGTTTACCTCTATTGTAATAGAACAGCCCTCATGCTTGCTGTAAATGACGAGTCCACAAATATAATCAGACTTTGTCTTCAGCAAGGCATTGATGTCTTTTCTCAAGATAACTATTGATAGACTACAGAAAAATACGCTTTTGTTAGTGGTTTTAATTTGTGTTCACATTAAAATGCTAGTTATCACTAAACCGAGGTTTAAAATAATTTAACCATCACTTCTTATGTAACAGGTGAGATTTCATAGTTTGGTTGAGGCAGTTTGGGAATGGTGGGAAATTAGTCTGTGCCAGCAGCCAGAAATCAAGCAAAAGACTAGACTAGTGAGCAGTAGCAATGGGCCAGATTCTTTATCTCAGAACTTTTAAGATCTGAATCATGATCTGATCCTAACAACACACATTTCTTTCTATATAGAACCCCATGCATGGGGTACAAATAATGTCACCTCTCTGATTTTTCTAACTAGTTATATGGGTCTTGAAATGTTCAGCAGAAAATTGTATATTTTCTGGGGGCTATCTCTTGTACTCTTCTTGAATTTTTCAAGAACTTAAAGGGTTCTCTAGTTCAAGGCATATAATTCTCTTTTGCAAGTCAGATGGAGAAGTAAGAAATGACAGGTTAATCAGTTTGTTGTTTCCACTGATTCTGTTGCTGCAAAGATGCTGTTGAAACTGGTCTTACAATCATGATTGATCTTTGCTACTAGGTTGCCCTTGCTGAACTGGATTCCTAAGTCTTCGTGTTGATTTACACTGGAACTTGAAAATTACAGCTTTTTTAAAAAAAAATTTATGTACATATGCTTGTATGCTCAGCCCTTATTCTAATTATTAGCCCCTTGTTCTGACAGCTGGGCCCCCTAGCTTCAGCCACCCACAGCCTTACCCCACACTCAAAAACCTATGTGGAGCTTACAACTTAGAACAGACCTTTGCACACTAGTTATTCTTTGAGCATTTTATATTTTTTTTTCTGCTGGCAGATGTTAGTTGGAATCATTCTAAGCTGTCAGAGAGGTTCAAGTAATGCTGCAGGACAAGATCAGACTTTCCTTTCTTCTTTGTTACCAGATTGTACCCCAAGGCCACTTTCTGTCCTGTAGAGCATATTTGTTTAGGTCGAGGGAGGCTCCATACACCTGTCCTGGAATAGTAGGCACCAAGTCACCTGAGATTCCGTAGTTAAGGTTGGCGCCTCAAGTGATCTGTTTTCCATAATGATGAAAACTTTCCCAATAACTTCAGTTTATCTCAGGTTTCAAAAAATTTTAAATTATGCCTCATATGGAAGTCAGTCAACAGAAAGCTCTTAATCAAAAGTGGGTTATTGGGTGTTAGAATTGCTAAGGCCCTTTCCATGACTCATTAGTATCCATGTGTGACAAGCAGGATTGTATCTTCCAAGTCATTGTAGGTAAACAGGGAGATTACACATCATTCTCAGAAAGACCTGCTGGTTCAGAGTTTGAGCAGGTAGAGAGGGGATGGTAGTAGTAGTCCAGGCCAGGTCCTGGCTTCTGTTAGTTTTCTGCCCTTGGTGTGATTAGCCCTACTAATAGGGGAATATTATGTTATCTGATTTAATCAGTAATATATTTCCAAATAAATTTTGTTATAAGTTATATAACATTGAGATGCCCTGAACTTCAAACCACAAAGGAGAAGCTAATAACTAAATTATATTTTCTGAAAACTGCAACATTTGGTCATTAGAAACAATGAAAAAGCCCACATTTAGGTTTATTTGGGATTCCATAATAGGTTCAACAAATAAAGGTCATGAACAGATTTTTCTTTTGCTCTACTTTTTCTCTGAACACCTCTTTTTGGTATATTATCTCATTTAGTCAGTCATCCTTAACAACCTTGTAGAGTAAGACACTAAGATTCTCGTTTTGTAGAGGAGGACTTTGAGTCAAAGAGAGGTGCTTGTTTGAGGAAAAAAATTGCTGTTTGTCATAGAGCTAGGGCTTCTGAGTTCCAAACCCTTGTCATTTTGTCAAGCTAATTAATTTAACAGACTATACTGCCCTCAAATCATGACTGTTTTACATTACTTTTTTCATCTTAAAAAGTCTGTAGAATTAACAAATTTGAAGTATATGGCATAAAGTTTTAATATTAGCTCAGATATTATCTGAAGTACTCTGAGAATTTAATATATTTGAAAAATATTTTTGATATCAGTATTAAGATAGTAATATTATTTATCACCATTTTTTATACACAGTAATCATCAACTAACTTGTGACTACAAAGGAGAAAGGAGACCTAAAGTGTGTTCTGAAAGCAACAAAAGTCTTGGTAAGACATCTGTTAGTATATTATTCTTGGTGGTCCTACCATAGATAAGTAAGAGTAAGGAAGTTTTGATCATGAAAAAGCAGTGAGAGAAAAGTGTAAATTGCATGTACAGTTTTTCTTTCTTAATTTCTTAATAGAATAGTATTCATATTATTTCAAAAGTTAATTATAGGTCATTTAAAATCTGGGGCAATGTCATCTGAAAAGAAGTTAATTTATTTAGTCATGCCCCCTAAAATTTCATATGATATCTTTATGTAAAAGAAAAAAAGATTTTTAAGTTATGATATTGTATGTTTCCCCTATAATCACATAGTAACAAATTAGACTTGTTATAAAAATGGTTCTTTAGTTTTTATACAAATGGATTGCATTTAATAAATAAGTATTTGTTATTATATCCTTATTTGTCTCACTAAAAAAGTAACTAAAACTGGGAACTCAACAATACTTTCCTAGTACCATAAACAAATGGCAAACAAGAACTGTAAAACTTAGCCGTGTGCAACATTCCCAATGAGATTATTTTTAAAGCCATCTACCGATAGCACAGAAGTCAGAAAGGCAATGCCTTGTTGAGGAGCATAGGTTATTGTACTTACTGTTGTACCAACAGGGTCTCATTATTATCAACTTAATTTTTCATACGTCAAAACAGAATGAGATATGTTGACTTCATTAGAACAAGATGTTTCCTTATGGTTGTTAGATAATTGTCACACTGTAATTTCTTTAGAATAAGATTCTCTGTTATTATTGGTCAAAATATAATTGTAATAAGTATTCAAATAGTCCAACTAGGGACTCTACACATTATAATAAAAGTATAAAAATATTTCATAAAAACAAAAATGCTGGTGAGCTACCTGGATGTGGCACATTGTGCACTGTGAACGGTATGAGGACACCTTTGACTTACTGGACCATTATCAAAGTACTTGCCTAGGTTGGTTTTGCAAATAATGAGAAACGCAAAGATGAAATACAGTTTTGATCTTTAAGCTGCTCATATTACAGAACTGTCCCTGGTTGGTTTATTTCTGGTTGTTTTTTTTAAACAGAATTTTTCAAGAAAATTTCAAAATTCATTTATTCATTTGTCTGCTTAATGGTTTGCCATTTAACTGTCAAGTGTCTTACATGCTATTATTCAGATGTTGCAAAATACAAACATTTTAAAAACACAGTCCCTGCCCTTCAGGAGGTTGTTATTATTGCCATTTTTATTACTTACTATATTTTATTCAGTGCTTGCTAGGTGCCAGAGCCCACTAGGAGCTTATAATTACCATTGTTTATTCTTTTTTTATTGGTGCATAACATGTACCATACACTTTAAGTGTATGATAGGGAATTAAGTTTTTTAAGAAGTGGGTAGAATTTTTCTTGAACTAGTATCAGTTCATTATGAAGTTTTCACCTGTTTATGCTAAAATAAAAAAGTCAGAAAGCTTAATTTATTCAATTTAAAATGTGGTCTGCTTCTAGGCCTGCAAGTTTTTTATTTTGCTTACAAAGTCTTGTTCATTTAAGAAACAGTAATAATAGTTGGTAGTGTCTTTTTTCTCTGTGAAAGCCATCTGCTAAGAGGCCATGATTAACTAGGTCAGGGGCAATGACAAAATAAAGCAGAGACGGAAAAGAGATATAGTTGATATGATTTAGTGATGACTGAATTTAAAAAGTTAGCAGAGAGAGAGAAATCTAAGATGATTCATAGGTTTGCAGGTTGTGCACTAGCATTAAATTGGACATGAAGAATAGGACTTTATCAGATGAACAGGGAGAGCAAGAGGTCAACAGGGAAGACCATTTTTTCCCATAGATGTTGAGTTTGATGAAATATCCATGGATAATTATGTACATTTTGTAGATAATTTCTTTGACTTTTTGGCTTTTCCTATCAACACATGTCTTTAATAGGTGAGTTATAAGAAAAATATTAAGAACAAATAGAAAGGACTCTTATAATCCCTGGTACAGTATTATATTACATATAATAATTATAAGTTAGTTTTTCTGTAGTTATCACAACTGATTGATTCACAGCTATTATAGAAAGAAATGAAACACTGCTTAGTTGGAGAACATTAACAGTAGTATTTTTATCTTCTATATAGGAAGTATCATACCATAGAACATATTGTCAGTCATTAGAATTATTTTTATTTGATTAAAATAGGATTGTTGCTGGTTTCACATATTTTCTGACATCATTTCATTTATCCCTTTTGTGTCTTTATTCAAGTGGATATAGATCTACAGGAGTCTCCAAGACAAGCATCAAGAAGAACAAATTCAATGACAGGTATAACACATCAGCCCAAATAATGACTCATCATTATGACCCAAAGTTTATAGTTTACATTAAGGCTCACTCTTGCTGTGGTACATTCCGTGGGCTTTGACAAATGCGTGATGACATGAATCCTCCATTACAGAATCACTTCACTGCCTTAAAAGTCTCCATGCTCTACTTATTTATCCCTCCCTTCCCTCTAACCCTTGGAAACTACTGACCTTTTGACCAAATGTTATATAGTTGGAATCATACAGCAGGGTTTTGTTTTGAATATTTAAAAAATTAAAATTCCAAGGAAATTGAAAGTAATCATCCAAGATGTTTTTGTCCTTTATGGGTTGTAGTTGCTATTGTTGTTGATTAGCATAGGGTCTGATGACATGTGCCTTGCAAGGTGAAGAAAAAGCATGCTTTCTACAGGCATTTGCCATGTGCTGGGGAGGGCTGGGGAGAATGACATTGTGCACTACTGCCCAGCACTAACTGTTTGGACCATCCTGCTCTCTGAGTTGGGTCCAGATGGGCTCTAGCAATGGAAGGAGACTGTCCAAAGCCCCTACTTTATAAAACTGGAGTCACAAAGTCTGTCATTCTTGTCCTGCAATTGGAAATAGGGCCAGAAAGAGTATGTTCCTTATGTTTTGCCATGAGAAAGGGCAGTGCCTCTAGGCCAAGTTCCCTTGTGACAGAATGGGTAGTGTTCACTGAAGAGCTTGAGAAATTATATTGTAGTCCATCGAAATAAGTATGCTCTTTTCTAACTGCTCGTAATGGTAGGAGTCCAGAAAAATCATTCTATTTTAGTTTGACATTGTTAGTTTATGGTACTGATTCCACTAATGATGCCCTTTTCTGTTGGTCTGATGTGGTTTGGTTAGGATTATGATCACTGTAAATAGCAGTTCATTTGGAGATACCAGATTAAGATAGATCTCATTCTTTTCTTTTTCTTGCATTTGTTATAAATAAAGAAGGAAAAGTAAGTGTTCTTAATGTATTAATTGCCTACTAATAGTATCATTCATATTCACTGTAGTATATATAGTCTTCAAGTGTGGTCCCAAGGTAATATTTTCTAATGAAGCATCAGTCTGGTACTTTTAAACTTCTGTATTTTTCCGTTGTTCATTTCAAATGTATTTTACTTTTTTTTAAAATAGTGGTTGAGAAGTCTGAAGAAGACTCTTTAAGCAGGTAGGATTTTATGGATTTCTAAAAATTTTGTTAACTAAGGGAATGCAGAGAAAATAAACGAACGTTTCTTGAGTGCTCTGTCCTAGGCTGGACACTGTGTTATGTAACTAACACATGTTGTATTGTCTCTGCAATAGCTTTGCAAAGTAGCTGTGCTCTGATAGCCAAGTGCTGTGGGGCTTGAGAGGCCCAGCATCCACAGAGCATCTTACAATATGTTTTTTTAAAGATTTTATTTATTTATCTTTGGAGGGGAAGGGAAGGAGAGAGAGAGAGAGAGAAATATCAATGTGTGGTTGCCTCTCGTGTGTCCCCCACTGGGAACTGGCCCTCAACCCAGGCATGTGCCCTGACTGGGAATCGAACTTCGATCCTCTGGTTCTCAGGCCCGCGCTCAATCCACTGAGCTACACCAGCCAGGGCAAATTTAGGTTTCTAAGCCTAGTAGGGACTGAATGTAGTGAATGTGGTGCAAGAAGATAGAATAATTAGCAGTGAAATCCAAAAAGAACAACATTGGGTTGTGACAGGAATAAGGGTTTTAGAAAAGAGATGAGAGAACAGGTAGGGAAAAGATATCAGAATATTGGGGCTTATGACAAGTTCAAGGTAAGTTAAAAGAAGGAAGGCCACAGGATGCTGGGAGTTGTTTAGAAAGGCAGATTAAAATGTCAAGAGAGTCCTGAATAGGTTTGCTTAATTGGAAAAACTAGCAAAATTCAAGGTTTCTATTGGAAAGTATTAAAATAATTTGGAAAGATTCTCCTTATTGCAAACAGGACTCTGGTATCATCTATCTGACCTCTGACTTACAGAGTGGGGCTTAGATCCCCTCGAGTAGTGAGGAACTGGAGATTGCTGAACTGTGTAGATCTGTGGCCCAACGCAGGGGTCTCCTCACCTCTGCCTCTTTTCCCAGTTAGCTGATGTCCTTCCCATGTAGGAATGGGGTGGGAACAGCTGTCAAGTTGGTAGTAGTTGATAACATGCTTATGTTAGGAGTGGATGGCAGACTCCATTTAGCCTATTTTCCAGGAGCAGAGAAATAGAGAGCTCTTACTCTTGGTCCTTTGAGCCCATCCTTGTTTCAAGAGTCTGTGTCTTCACAGGCTGAATATTTAAAGGTTGGAGATGGTCTGGGAGCATGCAGAAGGTTGATCTGGGAGTGGGAAGGCTGATGTCATAACATTTGTTCTTTGACATTTGGACATTTAACATGTAAACATGTCAAGGAACTAATTCCCTATAGTGTTTTGGGGCAAAAGGAAGAAATAGAGTTGCCTTAATACGTTTCTTTCTAAAGAAACTAGACTGCTATTTTTGAAGGACAGATTAGTCTTTGAACCAAGGACAGACAATGGAGAAGAAACAGTGTGAGTGTGTCTTTCTACCTTGATTCAGGTCATCAGATCTTTTCCAGTTCAGGAATCAAAAGTCGTATCAGCCATTTTATTGGATTTTTAATTCAGCCTTTAGGAATTTTGGTGAAAACAAATTAACTTCAGGCTTTGCCATTATATTGGCTGTTACCTTTCGTGGGAACTTAGCGTCTTCATTGAATAGTTCATAGGTTGGAGGACATGGAGGCAGAAATAGATAACTAGAAGCTTTTTTAAAATAGGCCAACTTTTAATTATATCAAGAAACTTTATTTAATACACAGATAGCTGACCTTTCACTCAACTTTTTGGTTAGTTTTTTAAAGGAATGAACTCATTTTTGTTGGCTATTTTTATTCTAAAGGCTGTCCAGCAAACCTGACATTGATGATTCATGGCCTACATCAGAAGATGAAGACTTCGATTTTGATACCAAGGTTAAGTGCTCCATCATGGGATTAATTTTCCGCTCTGAATTTACTTTTGTGTAGCACTTACTTTTAAAATGTAGTGTTGGTCTACCACTCACTGTTTTATGTCTATAATGAAAAATTGGTCAGAGCTAACTATTTGGGTAGAAACATGATGCATTGCATATTTTTTTAACTTTAAGTACTGAAATCAGGGGCTGAAAAAGAGAAAGGACTGGAAAATACACAGTTATAGAAAAATTATAGTGAGGAAAAGTTTCTCACTAAAGACAAGATGGGAAACTTGGTCAAGGATAAGGATTTTTAATGTGACTTTAAAATCATACCAGCATGATTTTTATAATATTAATGCCTAAGTGATTCTTTAGTGGATTCAATTACTTACTGTAATAGTCAGGAAATCTCGGTGTCTGTCAGTTCTAAAACTACATATCATATAATATATAGGTTTCTTTCTTGGGCTGCTTTTATTTTGGTATCATGTAATTGTTAGGAGAGAGTTGTATTTTGTCTAACTTAGGTTCCACATTTGAATTGAAATAATATTATAAAATATGTAAATTTAGAAATTTAAATTGTCTTTCTTGAAAACTGTTGCAAAAGGATCCTACTGTGTTTTAAATCATTCCATCAAGAGTCTATTTAAAATTATGTATTTAAGTGAAGATACATATTTTGCTTAAAATAATAACTAGCTCTAGAAGCAGAAATTGTTAATAACCAAATAGTAAAACATCAAATTTCAGAAAATTTATTGTTGCTTTTAAACTTGTTACTTCAGTTACAGTTGACTTTCAGTATTACACTAGTTTCAGGTGTACAGCATAGTGGTAAGAGATTCACGTAAATCATGAAGTGATCTCCCCAATAAAGCTAGTATTCCCCTGAGGCCATACATAGTTATTACAATATTACTGATTGTATTCCCTGTACCGAATTCTTTCTCCCCATGACTATTTCGTAACTACCAATTGTTGTTACTTAATCCCTTCACCGTTTTGCTACCTGCCCACCATCCCCACCACCACCATTTGTTCTCTGCATCTATTAGTTTCTTTTTTGTTTATTCGTTAGATACCATGTGTAGGTAAAATCATGTGGTATTTGTCTTTCTCTTTTTGACTTGTGTCACTTAGTACAATACCTTCTGGGTCCATCCATGCCAGTGATTTTTAACTGGTATGCAGCTAGAATTTTTCAAACATGCAATATCCATCTATTCAGTCAGGGGCACTGACCTCTTTTCCCTTAGATTATCAAATTTAAAAAATGACAACCAACAGAACAATAGCCATCTGCAGTGAAAGACGACTTTCATCTTGTATCTGAATGATTCCATTTTTGTGAAACCTCACATAGGAATGGTGTATAGTATTGTTGTTTTCAAATTTGTTATTTAAAGATATTTTTTTTTCTAGAATGCCATGAAGCCAAGCTTAACAAAGCTAATGACCGCTATTCAACAATCTCACGAAAACAGTAAGCTACTTGAAGGCTGGCTGTACCTCTGTTATTCATTGATTTGAAGTTACAAATATTTTCATGTATTCTTTACTTTGTTTTAACGTAGCAGAAGCAAAATATGCCATTGTGAGACCAGAAAATAGGATGTTATGTGAAGACAAAACTTTTCATAGTGAAAATGAAGATGTGATTGAAACTTTTCCCAAGACATCAGAAAAAGTCCAGGGCTTTTCTCAACCTGCCTTTTCATCACTTGAACCTCTTCTAAAAGCTTCTCACATGTCCTTAGAAGTCATTGGTCTTCCAAAGGTAAGTTGTTTTGTTATTTTAACCGGTTTTCCCCCATGATTTTTCACGTACCATACCCCTGATCCTTCTATAGTAATGACCAAGACCCTAGAAAGAAATGGAAGTCCTCAAGATCATAATAGAAAACAAGAATAAGAAGAGGAGCAGTATATGTACAGGACTGGGATTTATGCAGATTAGTGGGCGTATCTAAACAGTTCTTACATATGCCCTAATGGAAGGAGTACATTGGAAAGAACAAGTAGATATGAAGGAGGGTGAAGGGGAAAAATCCATGTAAGAAGAGTAGGATGAAAATAAAGATTTAGTAAGAGAGTCAAGATGAAGAGATTATAAAAACACAGCAAATAGAGGGCTTAAGTGAAGGCAGGAACTCATTATATTATGAAATATGATAGAATAATTTTTAATGCAAATTAAGCAAAAAGCCCAGGTAATGAAAAAATTGCTCAGTCTCTTCTGAATTACTTATAGCTGATTTTTATGAAGAACTAAAGGAAAATTTAATTGTATCCTTTTTCTCATTATTAAAATTTTAATTTGAAATTGTTTTTTTTTAATCCTCACCTTTAAGTTTAATAAATTGACATTTTATATTTTATCTAATAAAACCTGAGTTCATAGATAATGCAAATTGAAATCTGTTTTAGCCCAATTAAATTTATTATGAATTATTAATTTTTGCCATTTTTTTGCTGTTGTTTTTGACATCTTACTGTTTGGTATATACTCAGCTTTCTAAATTAACTCATCTTACACTTTGGTATAATCTGGGCAGGTGTTTTAGATATTTTTCTTTTTTTTTTTTTTTTGCCTGTAAAGAGAGAAAAGAAATAGCCATATTATATCATTTTATTCTTTAATTAAAATATAAAATTATGATTAGGGGCGACTTTTCATGTAGATGGTGGCATACACAGACATGACGCACTTCCTTGCTCAACCACATCAAAATTACAACTAAAATATAGAAAGTCATCACTCAGAACCATCAGAAGCTGAGTCGAATGGAACTCTTGAGAGCTACAGAATGAAAGAAACCATATCCATCCAGACTAGTAGGAGGGAAACCAGCACAGAATGGGCTGTTCCCACACCCATGTGTGGTGGATAAAAATTCGGAAGGGATATCTCAGGAATGAGGAGTCCCAACCCTATACCAGGCCACCCAGCCCAAGCTCCCAAGTGCCTGGGTACCCACACCTTCTGGCTATAAAAATCAATGGGATTGAGTCGGTGGAAAAACTTTTGGAGTCCCAAGCAATTCCTTGTGAAGAACCTACACAGTCTCATCTATTCAGACTCACTCCCTCTGTGTTTCAGCACTGGGGTAACAGCTTAAAAGGTGCCAGTGGCATACAGGGAGAAACAAAAGTGCCTGGCATTGAGACAAGCAGGTGCCATTATTTCTTTTCTGAACCCTCCCCCGATAGAGCCACAGAGCCAGCAAGCTGGTACCATATCTGAGATTCCATCAACCTGGCTAACCCTATTCAACATGCCCTGGAGATCCCCAGAGACTCCACTCCACCGAACTTGTGTGTCTGCGCACACTGTTTTTCCATTTGAATGGCTGGTTTTGGCTCATGCTCCACAATTTCCTAAATCCTCTCAAACGAGCAACAGCTGGCCTCAGTAAGTTCTAGGCCCAGCACTAGCAGCAGCCAGCCTAGATTCATATCTTGACTTTGGTTGGGAATCTCCAAGCCCAGCACAAGTAGCAGCCATCTCAGATTGCTTTATAGCTCAAGCAAGGTGGCCCAGGGCAAAACACAGATCGGGGCTGATCTTTGCCTGCAGCACCTGGGAAACCCCAGGGCCTGCACATCTAGTGAGCAGCTACAGACTGCCCTCACCACCCTGCCTCTGCACAGCTGATCCTCCATGAAGGGCAGAGGTTGGTGGTCAATGGTCACAGCCAATCTTTGCAGCTGACTGGCCTGGGTAAATCTCTCCTATTGGCCTGCCAACGGCAATCAAAGCTTAACTGTAAGAGGGAGCTGTGCTCACCCCACATGAAGGGTGCACTGAGAGTACCCAGCTTGGGTGATAGGGAAGTCTGTGCCACTGGATCCTACAGGACACCTACTACTTTAGGCCACACTACCAAGACATGGAGTCAGAGCAGTTCTACCTGATACATAGAAACAAACACAGGGAGGCTGCCAAAATGAGGAGACAAAAAAATATGGCCCAAATGAAACAGATCAAAACTTCAGAAAAAAGCTAAACAAAATAGAGATAAGGAATCTTTCAGATGCAGAGTTCAAAACATTGATTACCAGGATGCTCCAGGAACTTAGTGAGGACCTCAGCAGCATCAAAAAGATCCAGTCAGAAATGAAGGATACGCTAATTGAAATAAAGAACAATTTAAAGAGAAACAACAGTAGAGTGGATGAAGCTGAGAATCAAATCAATGATTTGGAACATAAGGAAGCAAAAAACAACAAATCAGAGGAACAAGAAGGAAAAAGAATCCAAAAAGTGAGGATAGTATAAGCAGCTTCTGGGACAATTTCAAAAGGTCCAACATTCATATCATAGGGGTACCAGAAGGAGAAGAGAAAGAGCAAGAAATTGGAAATCTATTTGAAAAAAAAATGAAAGAAAACTTCCCTAACTTGGTAAAGGAAATAGACATGCAAGTCCAGGAAGCACAGAGAGTCCCAAACAAGGTGGACCCAAAGAGGACCATACCAAGACATATCCTAATTAAAATTCCAAAGCTTAAAGATAAAGAGAGAATCTTAAAAGCAGTAAGAGAAAAGAAGTTAGTTACCTCCAGGGGAGTTCTTATAAGACTGTCAGCTGATTTTTCAAAAGAAACTTTGCAGGCTAGAAGGGATTGGCAAAAAATTCTCAGTCGTGAAAAGCAAAGATCTGCAGTTAAGATTGCTCTACGCAGCAAAACTATCATTTAAAATCAAAGGGCAGATAAAGAGCTTCTCAGACAAAAAAGACTAAGGGAATTCATCATCAAACCATTATTATATGAAATGTTAAAGGGCTTATTTAAGAAATAGAAGATCAAAAGTATGAACAATAAAATGATAATAAATATACACCTATCAACAATTGAATCTAAAAACAAACTAAGCTAACATGAAGAACAGAGACAGAATCATGGATTCAGAGAGTATTTTGATGATTGCCAGATGGGTGGGGGTTGTAGGGGAGTAGGTAAAGAGGTGAGAGGGTTAAGGGGTACAAATAGATAGTTACAGAATAGCCATGGGGATGTAAAGTACAGTATAGTAAATGGAATAGCCGAAAAACTCATATGCATGACCCATGGAGATGAACAATGGTGGGGAGATTTCCTGAGTGAGTGCAGGGTTAGGGATGGAGGGAGGCCAAGGGGGAAAATCAGGACAACTGTAATAGCATAATCAATAAAATATAATTTAAAGAAATAGAAATGAAATTTATGATTATATAACAGATTCGTAATCTCTGTTCATTAAATTTTAAGTTCAAATGCTCCTAAGGAAAATAAAAATTACTTTTTTCTGTAGAGATTCATTTTTTTAAATTATTTGTAATTGTATGATTCCTTTTATATGAAATATCCAGAATAAGTTAATCCATAGAGACAGAAAGTAAGTTAGTGCTTGCCTGGGGTTGGGGATGGAGAAAATTGGGAGTTATCTGTGTAATTAATGGGAATGGGGTTTTCTTTTAGGGTGACAAAGATGTTTTGGAACTAGAAGTGATGGTTGCACAGTATGTGAATGTACTAAATGCTACTGAATTTTTCATTTTAACAGGGTTAATTTTATGGTTTGTGAGCTTTATCTCACTAAATAAAGAATACTGTCGTAACAATAGTCAATTAAATTAAGATAATGTTGCATTTTATTTATTTTTAGTTTTTAAATTACAGTGACATACAGTGTTATTAAATATTTATTTCATGTGTGCAGCATAGTGGTTTGAGAATTACATAATTTATAAAGTGATCTCCCTGGTAATACTAGTACCTACCTGGCACCATACACGGTTATTACAATATTATTGACTATATTCCTTATTCTGTACTTTACAACCCTGTGTTGTTTCTTTGCTGTGACAGTTTGTAACTTTCTCTTCCCTTCACTTCTTTCACTCACCCCTGACTCCTCTCCCATCCAGCATCCCTTCAGTTTGTTCACTGTATGTATGAATGTGTTTCTTCTGTTTTCTTTCTTTGTTTATTTTTGTCCTTTAGATTCCACATATTAATGAAGTCCGATGGTACTTGTCTTTCTTTGTCTGACTCATTTCACTTAGTATAATTCCCTGTAAGTCCATCCATATTACAAATGGTAAGATTCTGTTCTTTTTATGGCAGAATAATATTCCACTGTAAATATTTACTAAGTCTGTATCCATTTATCTGTTGACGGACACTTGGGTTGCTTCCATATCTTAGCTATTGTAAATAACACTGCAGTGAACATAGGGTTGCATGTATCTCTTTGAATTAGTGTTTTGGATTTCTCACATAAATTCCCAGGAGTAGAATTGCTGTATTGTATGATAATTCTATTTTTAATTTTTTGAGGAAACTCCACAGTTTTCCGTAGTGGCTGCACCAATCCACATTCCCACCATCACTGCACAAGGGTTCCCTGTTCTCCATATCCTCACCAACACTTGTTTGGTGATGTATTGATGATAGCCATTATGACAGGTGTGAGGTGATTTCTCATTGTTTTCCTTGACAGTGAAATACTTTTCATATATCTGTTTGCCATCTGTATGTACCCTGTGGAGAAATGTCTATTCAGGCTTTTGCCCATTTTAAATTAGATTGTTTTTAGGACTGGTATGAGTTATTTATATATTTTGCATATTAACCCTTTAATAGATGAATCATTAGTTAATATGTTCTCACATTCAGTTTTTTTATTTTGTTAATGGTTTTCTTTGCTGTGAAAAACATTTTAGTTTATAGTGTCATTTTATTTTTCTTTTGTTTCCCTTGCCCAAGGAGATAACATTAAAAAATATTACTA